AAGCCATCGGGTATTCCTGTCCTGCCCTCGATCTTCTCCACCTTCTTCCTCAGCTCCTCAATTCCCCCCGCTTGTTTGATGGCCTTGATAGCTATCCTAAGACTCAAAAGCCCTAGATTACTCATCTCTTGGTGTAACAGCACCCCAATCACCGGGCACTCTACATCATGATGCTCCTCCCAAGCCTTGTCCCTGCACTCCTCACTGCAGTAAATGACATTAACACAATTTGGACAGGGAATCGAGCTCCAAGTCTGCTCCAGACAACCCCAGCAGTGTGTGAGCATCTTCTCTGGGACTAAGACACAAGCATACGGCTCCATAATCCCGAGAACATCTCCTGGATCAATATCTCTAGTTGCCACCATGTGTTTGCCGAATTCATCCGAGTACTTCAGCTCGAGGCTGGCAGATAACCCGGGGATTTGCTTGTTTTCATCGATTAACTTGGGGAGATTTTTTGTCGCGTCCCATTTGACGTAAGGTGCCTGGGCGGGAAACCTCTTAGTGCCCTTCAGAATCTTCTCAACTTCAGATTTAGTGGTATTTTTTGGATCCATTTTATCCAGCCACAGACGACCGTTCTCTCGGCACTTTTCTAGTTCTTGCTTTGAGGATTTTGAAGATATACCCCGAGCCATGAGGCATCGTGCCTGGCGTGCGTACAGTTTTGCCTTCAAATTATCGGGGTAAGGGAGTGCGAGAGCTCTCGATATGTCCAGGAGGCAATCGTCGTAGAGGCGAGCCAAAATCAACATTGCTGAACGATTCCCGTAAGCAATGGACAATTCTTCGGAGCCTGTCGGGGCGAAGACTATGCTCTCCGTGTATTTCTGGATTGACACGTCGAGGTAACTGTCTACGATCTTCATTGAGAAGACAAAGTTGCCCATCTCGCGGAGGCGTGACGACTCCTCAGAGGACTTGCTAATTATCTTCGAGGGCAAGGGCCTTGAATAATCGATGAGGAGTTGTATGGTGTACTTTACACGTTCCGAGTCACTTTGTAAGAGCGAGTACTCAGTGTGATACGCCTTGTGTTTCCCAGCTTGGAGGAGCTTACAGCTCAGTCTTTCCAGAAGAGCGTCCATCGTGATTTCATGTACTGAATCAATTTTCAAATTTCAAATAATATTACAAATTAAATATAAAAATGCGTTAAATTTAATGAGTTCAGTAGCTAAGTGATAACGGGAGATATATCGAGTTATCTCTTTGATTAGTGTTCCAGGAATATCTCTGAAATTGTGAGCGAAATTTTTAGATGCGCCATACGATACTCCTTGGGCATAGAACAAAGATCATACTGTACGCGGGCCATTGGGATTATACAGTATTAAATGAAATGATTATAAAAGTTTATTAAATGAAAAGTTTATACTAATAGTTTATTTACAAGTGGAGATCAGTCAGTTCCCCTAGCAACTAGGGCGAGCACAACCAGCCATCTTTTATGGATCATTTGAAATTCATATATATTACTGTTTGTTTCCATCAACACCATTACTAAAATATATCCTTTTTCAATAACTTTATTAATATTAAACTTATTGAAAAAAGATATTTTTAGGGTGAAGTGATTGTAAATTACCCTCGAATTTTTAGATTCTTATTCCCCAAAATTACGGAAAGCAGCAAAATTTTTCAAATAGTTTTTTTGTAGACATCAATTACCCCTATAAAAATGCTTCTATAACAAATTACACTACCTATCTTAGATTGAGAGATTCTCTTTGAGAACTAGCCAAAGTCGGGGTGAAAGGGTTTATAGGAATAAAAGGAATAAAAATATTTTTTCCCCGACATTATATTCGAGAGTGAAAATAATACGGTGAATGTAACGATATTCATTTGTTTACTTCTAACGATGCTCTGTTCCTTTGTTTTACTGACTTGCGTCACCCCGGCCGCTTCGCAGAAACCGGGGAAGTCCAGAAATTGGAAGGAGGAACAAAACAAATATCTTGACTATCGTGATTCAGCCTTCTCACTTGTTCTCTTGTTTATTTCTTTGAGAAAAAAACGATAATTTCCTGAAGATTAGTACAACATGAAAGACCATCAATAAATATTTATATTAATACTTCTTTGATCGCTATTTACTACCCAAAATCTGTAAAACCGTGAATATATATATATATATATAAAATAGTAATCATAGAATCCCAACAATTGAAATGGGATGAACCCAGAAATTCTTCGTAGTATTTTCATTCGATCTTCCAGTTTGCTCTTCGATGAATAGAGAGATGAATATTTAATCAAGAAATAAATGTCATTAAAGAAATTAATATAACCTCTGCAACAATCGAAACCTACCTCCAAATCAAAATCGTTTCTGCTAATTGAATCAGTAGCATAAGCTCATGGAATTGTCCGTTTATAATTGGTGAAATGAATGATTTACGGTTTAATCGGTAATGGAGAGGGTGATTGTTGAAATGTAGTAATACTTTAAATACTGCTTTAATAATTAGACCGGGTTTACGTTGTGGGATCAGAGAGTCTAAAATATACTTCTTCTTCTTCAGTTTTTTTAGTACTGTCACACCGTTCTACCACCGTACATCTGAAACCAAAATAAATTCAGAAAAAAAGGAGGGGATTTATGCGGGGCTGACACATGCGCGCAGAGACGCTAACCCGTTCTCACCGATCGGTCGTTTAATCATGGAATCCCCCAATTCGGTTGCGGGGTAGACCAATGAGAGGAGAGAATTCAAATTTGAATAATTGAATGACAACTGCTTTCTGATTCAATGTCAGATTGATTATTGAGAAAAAAATGAATTTTAGGATAGCTAATGTGAATTTTGAGTGAATTGGAAAATGGAAATAATAGCAATAACCGCTGTATCGATATATCGGAAAGATTGGCCAAAATTCGTACATTGAAAATATTTGAATTCGATTACAGCTTCAATTGATTTTCGATGCTAGACTATTGAAGTCAGGAGATAATTACCAAAGCTATATGTACTGATACAATTTTTCAAATGATGGTACCTTTACTATATGTAACAAACGACCAATCTCCAATTTATTTTGCATTATTGACATTTTTTTATGTTTGATAAATCCCACATGATAGTCTGTTAGACGACTAATTCCTGAATACTTAAGTTATGTTAAGTTAAAAGCCGCGGATGGGCGGACTAGTCTTCTTGTGGCCACCGAACTCCGTTCTGATTTATTGTAGCTCCTTCCAGTGAAGCTTCTGGTCCAGAGCAGATTCTGAACTCCCAAATATCTCACCGAAGTGGCGTATGCAATTTCTGCTCCTCCTAGCGTCAGTGGTTTAGGAGTCACCACTTTGTATTTCCTGATGAATATCATGGCGGACGTCTCTTCAGGGGTGACTGATAGTTTCGTTTTGCCATTCAATTCCCAGCGTCCTTAGAGTTAAAGGTTAATCTATCCCTTAGCATGTTTAAGAACCTACCCCTTGTAATAATGGTCACGTCATCGACGTAGCCATATACCAGGAGACCCTGTCCCTGTTCCTAAATACTTCATTTATCTAGACAATATAACTTGTTTAAATATAAAAGTTGAGAATGGAAGAATTTTTAATTGGGGTTCATTCACAAAGTAAAAATTGGAAAACAATCATCAGTTTTTTTTAGAAACAGCAAAAGAAATCGAATATCGTATTTCATATTTTTAATCTGGTGATTCCCATTTTTAATATCATAATTGGGGAGTGGAAGTCTCATTGACAAGTGTTTAATTATAATTTTAGTTTGAATTTCTGGGTGTACCTTGTAATAGGGGTGATTAGGCGCAGGTAAGGGTTCCCATGGCGACCCGATGCGTCCACATAACTCAATGCTATCGAATCTAGAGCAGTCTATTAACGTCGATGAAACACTATTTTCCCAGTGGACTTCCAACCCTTCAATTAATCCCTAAACAACAATTAAAATGTCCCTCCACGTTAATCCACTCATGTACTTGAATCTGGGGGGTGAGATGCTCTATGTCATTCAACACAGACTAAGTGCTCAGAAAATCGAGGAACGCAAAACAATTCAAGGTAAAATAATTCCACTCGAGTACAGAACAAAAATTAAACCCTAACGAATTGTCCCGAATATTAATTATTGATAATTATTGACAACCTGGTAAAATATCTGTAAAATAATTTTTTAATGAAATTTACTTTTTCTTTAAATCAATGAGTTCAGTCTTGGATGACATCACAGCATCATTTTTAAATCCAAAGATTCTGTCAACTGTTTTTCAACAATCTCCACTGATAAACCTGTCATCCCTACGAGCAACTCTCGAGGCCATAAGTCTCAGCTCGATCATGAAGTTGGGCCAGAGTTCGATGAACAAATTATTTGACCTGATGATGATGATGTTCAAGTATCAGCTTATCGCGTGCACTGGACCCAGGGAAGTAATTCTGGCGACTCTTAATCATGTTGATGCACTTCGGGATATGGTGACCCAAACAAGTGCACATGAATGTATCACCCTCGTTCACCGAATGATCGTTGACGTGAGTATCATCTACTAACAATAATAAATCATTAAATAATCACTGTTTATAATAACTAAGGCTAATATGGAAACGTTTTAATTCATCACATAATTACCGTCTAAAATAATAAGCGCCTTGTTGAAAATTACTTCTTTATTATCAGATTTAATCCTAAATTCACGCTTTCCAAATAAATAATTTCCTGCATTGTTTAATGACGTCATAAATTTGGTTTAAACATCATGAAAGCACAGCCAATTAGAATTTCAAATCGATATGATTGTGTAAATTATTATTAGCTGTCTTTTCTTAAATTATTTATTTTCTTCTATTCTTGGAGAACGCTGCTTAATCTGTCAAATCGACTAATTGTTAAATAGTTAATTTATCCATTTTATGTTTGTTTAAACATTTAAAAATTTTAAGAATTGATGACGGAAGAGTTTTTAATGGGCGTCTGTTCTACCCCAACATCTAAATATCTGAACAATAAAATAAATCAATAAAATAATGAAGTAATATCTGATAATAAAACTAATAATGAAATAATTATTGATTAAATATATATAATTATCTTACGAATAATAGAAGGAAAGAGCCAAGATGGAATAGCTATAAATAGATTGAATGAATTCGCATTCAATTTTGATGTTGAACAAATTCCTAGAAGTTTCTATTTTATTTTTAACAGAAAGAAGAGAATGTTAATAATTTTTGTTTATTTGAGATGTGATTCAATTGCTTGCGCTTGATAAATTCAATGATAAAGAAATGATGAATGCTGGAATGACGAGATGTGTTTTATTTTATAATTAATGTGTAATATCTTATAAACAACTAGGTTTATGGAGAATTGAGTCATGACGAGATTTGGCAGGCGAGGAACGAATGCCTGATCGCCTTAGCTAGTATCAACGTCAGGGTTTCTATTCTTCTGAGGCTCGGCCTTCAGAATGAAGACACGACCTTCAATATTCTCCCACAAAATTACGATGAAAAGTTTGAGGAGAGGAGGTGCGAGGTGGGGAGTAACAAATTACTCGAGAGTAATCAGAAGGGGTACAATCTAGGATCGTTCAAACTCTTTGGGGATCGAGTGACACTTTTAGGGAAAAACATGTGAGTTTATACACTAGTTAATTAATTAATTAATCACTGGCTTTCTCAATAAATCACCAATTAATTCAGGAAATAACAGCTTATTCTGTCAAGATATTTCACCCATTGGATTCATTTTAAGTTCATCTGATTAATAGAGTCATTGCTTCATTAATTACAGATTAATTAATCATAATGGTTGACTGGTTAACGAATCAATGATTTTCTTCTTCAACTGTTAGTTAAATCAAAGAATGAGTTGAAACTTAATCAAGTAATAATTAAACCATTTTTAAGAATTTTAATCGAATTAAAAACTAATTAATTAATCTTAAATTAATTTTAAAAATTATTAAAAAATTGGCCGGTTGATCAATAAATCTATCATTTTCAGTCTCAATAGCTTATCAATTCGATTAAGGAATCAACTAGGAGTTAATTGAATAATTAATCAATTGATTGGCGTAATTAATAGAGAAAAGAGGAAAAAGTTTGGAATGATTTAAGAGTAGGAGAATATTTCAAGCTCATTAGAATTTTGGAATAACTCGAAATTTTTCTCTAGATATTCTCCAAATTATGTGAAAGCAGCAAAAAACAGGCAATTACCAAAAAATCGCGAGAGATCTCTAAAAGACAGAGGAACAAGAGCAGAGCTGGGAATGTTGGCGAGGCAATTGGGTACAGAGGAGGCGACAGCATCTCGACCATTCAGTCTTGACCTGTTTGATGATCAAGAGACGATTGAGATCGATGACAATCGTAATGAGGGAGAGGGAGAAGAGAAGGGTACCGAGACACCTGGGCGAGTCGATGCCGATCACAAGGCGAAACTCGATTACATTTCTGCGGATCTCGAAGGGGAGGAGAAGCTCTACAAGAAGATGAATCTCCTCCAGCTGCTGGATGAGGCTGAGTGATTCTTCGCTCAACCATTCAGGTTCACCGCCCATTTATGCATCAAAGAAATTTACAAAAACACTGGAATGCGCCAGACAATTCTATTGGTTATTCAACTTTATTATTTTGTTGGTTCTCGGGAGATTCTGGTGGAATACTAAACTGAAAATATTCTGCAGAAGAAATAGAGTTCAGTTTTTCTATAGATTTCATTCGGCTCAAATTTTATGTGTTTTTTTCCATATTTTCTTCTTTCTTTCAACTCAAGATATTTTCGTGAAATTTTTTCTACTATAAAGATTAATGTAATTTCATTGTATTGTTTTATTGATAATTCTTTTATTGAGATGATTTTTAGGGAATGTCTTCGCCTGAAATTTTAAAAGCATTCGTTATTGTATACTCATTGTTTTTCATCGTGAAAATTAAAATTCCAGGCGAGTATATTAGAAAATAACAATTTGCAAACCAAAAATGAATTATTCTAACTTTTTTTATACTAAATCTTTAACGTTCTTTTGAATTTCAATGAAATCAGCTAGGTTTTTCTATGAAATATTGAATTATGATCGCATTTCCTTTCCCTATATGAAAATCAATAAATTATAATGTTATTAAAAAACAACGATAATCTCTGTCTAGTTGATCCCCATAATAATATAATTTATTGCAATCACTCTATTGATAGCATTTGAATAATCATTTGTCAATTGTACAATCACGTTGAAAATTGTTGGAACAAAAAAAATATGAATAAATAAAAGATTGTATTTTACGAGAGGCGCAGAATGTATTTGATCCCGGTTTTCCCATCTCTCTGAAGAGTGTTCTTCGCAGCCTCTTGGTACTCATCGAGTGGAATGATTTTGTGAGGGGGTGCCTGGAGCTTTTTTGAGGCGAAGAGGTTCCCCAGGTCGTCTAGCATCTCCCACCGTTCCTGAGAGTCTGAGTGAGACTTCACCCAAGATGTCATCCAAAATCCCTTGGCTGTGATATTCTGAAAAAATTGCCATCCAATTTTCTTTATTTTTTTGCAATTCTTTCAAATCATTTACATCTCAGTAATTTCTATTTAAAATATTTCTATGTTATCAGTGAAATGGAAATGGGGGAAGCTACATTTTATTAATATATAATAATTAATAATGAATCCCAATTTTTTTCGATGCAATAATAAGTTCTATTTTATTGTTCCCGATGTTTTTCGGTTGAAATTCTATGATATTTTACGGGCATAGGGGAAATCTCTATTTAGTTTATTTCCATACTTTTCCGAGTACTAAAACTGCAATAAAACAATCTGTTACACAAAAATTTTAGTCCTGAATTGTATTAATTTAATAATTTTCTAACTTTCATTCTGTATTTTTCTGTTTTTTACCTTAAAAATGAGGGCTGAAGCTGGAATGGTGAGAGGTTCCCTGGCCATTGCTCCATATGTAACGATTAGCCCGTCCTGAGCCAAATGCCTGAGAATATTCAGAGCACTTTCCCCACAGACGCAGTTGAACGCTAATTTCGGTGGATTTAATCTCTTGCTCTTGAACAAATCAGTGGTTCGCACTTCTGTCTCGGTAAGGACCTCAGTGGCTCCTAGACACTTGAGATGATCCTTGAGATCACCGATATCCTCTCGATCCCTGACAACACTGACTGAATTCAAGCCCCAGGCTCTGCACAGCTGAATCACCAGCTGTCCCACCGC